AATACATTTTTAAAAATTTGTTGATTTTTTTTTGTGTGTGTGTATCACACAGGACATCCCAAACTATCTTATTCCACTATACACCCACTTGCCAGATGGCACCCTCCCATAGCCTCCCTCCCCCCACTAGACCCCTTATGCTCTGATATCCCTGCTACTGTCTGCTGTGTTGTTGGCACCCCCAGCCATTCCCCACTACTTGCCTTTCTAGTGAATCTACTCAGCCTGTCTAGAGGTCTTTGTGTTCATCATCTAGCAGCAATCAGTTGTCAATATTTCTTTAGATAAGATTAGGGTCTGCTGTTCATTTTCCCAGTTCTATGCTGGGTTACTATTTGGGAGTCCCTTTGGTCACCCTGGCCAACAACTCAAAAGAAGGTATCTCCTATCTAGCACTGTTGCTTGTTATGTAGCCTTTAGCTATGCGTATGGACTCTTAAGAAATTATATTGACCCCTTTCATTTTTGGTTATACTTTCCTTTTGGATGTTTAAGGCCGTACAGTTAGCCCAGATAAACCAATTTACTTTTACTCTTAAGGTTGTTTGAGGATCTGTTCCTCAGCGGGTTGCATGGGCTTGGGAGGAGACTCTGGTTCCTTTCTTTTACCAGTTCCACCTATGTGAAGATAAGTCAAAGGTCCTGCTAGACCATGGTTGGCTTCGCTTGGAAGCATGGAGGAAATGATTCCTCTGTGTTGACCCTCCTCTTTGTAGCCTGGACATTGGTTCAAGTCCATCTGGTGGGATCTCCTCAGCCTCCTTGATCAAGAGGACAGGTGACCCACCACAATTACAGGACATTTTGAGAGATGCTCATAGTCCCCTGGAATTAGTCAACCTAGGAGGGCAAGGAGTAAAAACTGTTCTTTATGTCCCTCTGACCAAATTAGTATAGGCCTCAAAGTATGTCTGTCAAACACCCAAGAAGGTTAGTTCCCCCAGTCTGGTACTTTTAACTACTGTGTGTCATGTAGACAAATCTTGGGCACAGACCAATTGTTCTTAGATAAACCTTACCTATACATATATTTCTTGATCTGCTATGTATAATTTGTCAGTAGGTTGTAGGAGTAATATGGTTCCCTCTGGTTTTCAAAACTAGCTATTTAGGCATTATTTATCTCTCGCATTGTCTCTCCCCTCCATCATGGTTTTCCCAATTGAGGAACACCTATTTCCCCCCTTTCTCCCTTAATAATACCCTTCTTCTATGGTCCTACCTCTCTTGAGCTCCTTCTTTCCCTTTATCCCCTAGGTTCCTTGTATACCCTTCCTTCCCTCCTCCTTTAAATTAACCTAATTTTTATCCATATCTCCCTTATTAAAGCCTGTTCCCTACTGTTCTTCTCTTTCAGGTTCTTTCTTTTACTTTACCTCCCTTTACCTTCTCCATTATCCTGGTTCCTGTAGTTATTTCTGGATACATACTCACTTATAAGGATTTGGTGCTACAATCCACATATGAGGGAGAATATATGTCATTTCTT